ACTCTCCTATGTTACTATAAGGAGAATAACATAGGGAAGGAGAGGGGAAGAAATGTTCTCTCACACTTCTTTCATTGTCTGTCTCAATGAAAATTCTTTGACCTAATAACTTGTGCTTTCTATAACTGAGTTTTTAATAGAAAAAGGATTCCAAGGTAATAATTTAATGCATTTCAAATCACAAAATGTCTTCAGCATAAGCTGCAATATTCCATATGATGGCTACCGCAGAAGCCTGCCCCCAAGTCTTGCACCCTGTCTGTATTCACTACTACACCATGTTTTCTATGTATCTAGGATATTCCAGTTTCAAAGTCTTGGCAGGCATGTTTCTTCTTGCAAAAGTAGCCCAAGCACTCCCATTTTTCTATGGTTTTCTTAATATCACCATTAAGAATGATTTAGCCATGGTCAACCCTAATGAAAACAATGCTTTGTTACACATTCAGATTCTCTAATCTGCTAAAAATAAGTTTCAATTGTCAAATTAATAATTTTGGAAGAGGTACCCTTAGTTAAAGAGTTAACTCAGTCAAAAGGCCGATTGATTTGTCTGTGGGGTGATTTTTGGATTACTGATTAATGTAAGAGGGCCCAAAATAATGAGTGGCATAATACCTAGGCAGGTGGGCCTGGGTTGTGTAAAAATAAGATAGGTGAACCTGGAAGAAAACTAATAAGCAGTTTCCCAGTAGTCTCTGCTTAAGTTCCTGCCTCCAGGTTCCTGCCTTGTCTTCTGTCAGTGATGGATTGCAACATATAAGACAAATAAATCTTTTCTGTCCCCAAGCTGTCTTTAGACATGGATTTTGTGATAGCAACATCAAAATGAGATATTATGTCTTTTTATTTAGTCCTTATCACAATCAAACATTATATATCTTTTTGTTTTTCCCTAGTCATGATTTCTCTGTGTTTAGGCCTAGCTGTTCTGGAAATTACTCTGTAGACCAGACTGAGTGTGAATTTTCAAAGCTCCACCTTCCTCTGTCTCCTAAGAGCTGGGATAAAAGGCATGCACCACCACTGCTGAGCAGATGTTATATATCTTAAGCATGCCTCTTGCTTTAAGCCTTTGAGAAATACCGATGGTATATAATGGCTACTTACAACTCTAAAGATTTTTAAAGTAATCTGTTCCCAGTAAAACTGGCTAATACATAAAGAGTATGTGAATTTCATTTGAAGTTAGAATCAAGTAATGATAAGTTTAAATACAATCCAGTAATTTCCCTATAATTTATGATTGAAGATGGAAGGTCTACTACTCAACAGTTGCATTAGACAATGAGCAATTATTGGACTTTCCCCATTGTTATCTATAGGGTGTGGGTTAAAAGCCAGCATGGGTGTCCTTGGCTTGAATCCTATTTGTGACCTTTTCTTGCTGTGCAATGTTGGGCATCTGCTTTGAGATACTAAATTTCAGTTCATCCTTCTGTAAATGGTAACTGACAAACCGTAACCAAAAGACAGCCATGAGTATTCTTCTTCCTGACATCTCAGCTGTGATGTAAACAGATATGCTTCTATGTGAGTAATTTTTTTCTGAGGTTTCTCAGTGGAAAAAAATAAAAAAAACTATTCTAGGCACATATTACTTGGATGCAGAAAGATTGATAATTTGCACTTACAGAAATCAATAAGACTCACACCTAGAAAAAGTATTAAAGATTATATGTACTCACATTTCTATTATTTATCAAATGCTAGTCTTTATTCTCATTGTACTTTTAACAGCTACTTTGTTCCAGACATTTTAGTTCAATTATCTCATTTCCTCACAGCAAAACAATGCAGCATAAATTGTTACTTACCTGATTTTTAGTTTGCCAAGGCACATGTCCAACACTGTAGAACTAGACAAGGTCAAGAACAAAATTAAGACCAAGGACACCGTGCACTCTTTCTTATCCTACCCTGGAGATAACAATGGGAAAGTCTAATAACCGCTCATATAATTGAGCTCATATCCTTTTATGCTATTTTCCATGGCCATGCCATGAACTGGGTTGCAGGCCAATCTCTCCCACTCCAGAGAAACAAGGTGACAGTGACATGAAGTGCTAGAACAGGGTGTCATGAATGGCGTGGGACCTGATTTGGCTGGAAGCAAAAATACCCCAATCCAGTCCCGGCCAGTGATGAAACACATTCCTCTGCCATGTAGAATTCCTATAATATCTGTACTAAAAAGACTTGAGGAAGAATGGCAAAACATAAGACACAACTAAAACTATTTGCATTCATTTATTTGTTTTGCTAGAACCCACAATATTAGAAAACCTTACAACTATAATTAACTGGTGTGTGTTTTTTGGCTTTGGGAAGGCATATACACATTTGAAAGGAAGAAACAGCCTATTGTAAAAAGTGAAGAGTAAGTCTTTTAATTTTTCTTTCATCTGATGTTAGTTTATGTGAAACTAATAACATTTTTGTTGGCTCAGAGCTTCATGTTTTAGCAAGGCTTCCTTTTTAGCAAAAACAGTCTTTCCTGTGATCTTGGCCATAAAGCAATCATTTCAGGGCTTAGGATCATTTTGTCAGAGAAAGACAATGTGATGACAAGTTCACCTTCTATACCCATGTTTAATTGCTAATTATCTAAAAATTAATGTCATTTAAGGTATTATCCCTTCTCTAGCTGTTGCAAATTAAACAACATTAGAAGTCAAGGCTATGAGAAATATCTGTGTGAAGGTGTTATCACACAAGAAGGGAATTTTTGAATATTGAAGAAGAAAACGTTGGAGTAAGGAAAGTCTTCATCAAAGAAATATAGGTCATTATTTATGTATTAGTAAGACATAATTAAATTCCTATGTCTTTTATAAATGAAAATTCAATTTCTTTGCTACTGATCACCTACAAACCACAGACAACAGTTCTTGAGAAATACAGCATCTTTAAAAGCTGACGACGTAAAAGAAATTCCCCTCGAATACAGTAAGTCCGGTCATGACAACTTAAAGGTCTAATTCATAAAAACATTATTAAAGTGGATTATTTATACCTACCTTTTGTAGACTTCTGTTCTTATTCATGAGTCTCACTATATAGGGCTATAATCACAGGCAGGGTGTATAATGGAAACATTAATTCAATTTGAACTTAGGCAAGAATACTGTATTGCCCTAATAAAATCTCAGCTATATTAATTCAAAGCATGGGATTCATTGCACAAGAACATTCTCTTTTAAAAACTTGAGAAGAACAGCTTACGACTCGCGGCCTCAAGTATATTCTTGAACTGAGATGTTCAGTGCACTGTTGACTAATTGGTGAAGACTTCCTAATGTAATATTTAATCCACCACAGTAGGTAACATAGGTTCAGATACTAACTTGGTACTGTGGTATTATTAGTATGGTCTCAGAAATGTTTGAAAGTCTTCAGATTTAATTAGCCCCTTTTCCAAATCATGATATCAGATAATGATATTCAGCAAATGTCTTTTTGATTACCTGGCATTTTTATTAACTTAACAAGGTAGTAATTGTCCTACTGCATGTAATTTCTCCCAAAGAAGAAACCAAAAGTAATAACACTTTAAATATTTTTATTCAAAATTTTAAATACCCTTTGCTTATGCCTAACCCTCGTGGAAAAGGCAAAGCAAATTTCAGTTGCTCTATCTCTAACTCTGGAATGATAAAAATTTGCTCTCTCAACTCTCTTCTTCAGATTGAGCAAGCTGCAGAAGTACTCCGTAGACACACACATTTAGACAGAGTGTGAAGGTGTCTCCTTACAATGCTAGATTATCTCAGGGAGCGATGAGATGGGGCTCTTCATAAATTATGCTTCCAACACTAACACAAAGTGTGAGCTTTGATTTTGAAGGTAACAAAGCTCTATACCTAAGGGGATGAATTAATTCCTATATTTAATGAGATGCAGTTCTTAGTAGACAGCTTACGCATTCATCTTAGAATTGCATATTGGATATCCTCACTCAATTCAGTAAAAATCTCATAATAACTCTGGCTAATGAAAAACTTAGAACACTTCAGTACCTGAAAATGACAAAGAGAAAGTTATTTCAAATATAGAATAGATAATTCTACCAATTGAAGACAAAAATCAGTTTCCAATGTTAAGCACTCTCCAAGCCTAACATCACAGAACATTCTGTTTAGCAACTGGATTCAAGCACTTTGTTTTGTTATTTGAAATGACTCGACTTACCAGAAAAGTGCCCAAGAAAGTCCAAGTTTGAGTTGGGCAGCCGTTGCCATTCCCTCTTGTCCCCAGTCCCACCGAGGCATCTTCAGATATCCGAAACAGGCATCTTCCAGGAAACTTAATGGAACTACACTTAATTTTGCATGGCATTCAGACTTACTACGATACGAAGGTAGCCGAGCACACTGCTTCATGCAACTGCTCAGAATGGATAGTGAAGGTTATAACCCTGCTACAGTGCCACACAAATGTCATCAACTCTAATATCTGTTGACAAGAGCCAGAACTGGGTGTGGGGGGGGCACAGAATTACCTAATACAGCAGTTCTCTTTCTTCCTAAAGCTGCAAACCTTTAATACAGCTCAGGATGTGACAACCCCACAATTATAAAATTATTTTCATTGCTACTTCATAACTGTAATTTTGCTACTTTTATGAATTATAAAGGGAATATCTAATATATGTGTTTTTTGGTGATTTTAGACCACCGCTGAGAAAAAGTCACTTATCTTCATTGGGTCACAACAGGCTGAGCACCACTGGTCTGACACATTATTTTTAATAAAATAAGTATATAAAGAGAACAAGAAATTTATCTAAAGCACAGCAAGACACTGTGTAGAGTGCCTGATGACACTGTCTAGCTTCGAGAGGGCTATTGCTGTTTTCTAAATGGGGAATAGGTGGTCAGTTTGAGGCTTGCTGGGGAGTCACAAGATACCTGACGAAGAACCCACTCAGCATCAATCCTTCCAGCTGGTTCCTTCCTTACTGACATTCCTTAATTTCTTCTCTAGAACAAGAAGACAAGATGAAGATAACAGAGAAGAAAGTTACTTCTGAAACAAAAAAGAAAGGTAAGGAACAGAAAGGCTATCTAATACCGAAATCAAATAGTTGTAATCTGTAGTTTTGTTGGCAAAGCTATTGTTTTCTAAGAAAGAGATTCACTTGATTGTCATTGTTATTGAAAACGCCCAGGATTTTTAAATATTCCAAATAAACTTGGAATTGAGGAAATAATTTAAAAACCATCTTTTGAATAGTCATTTAAAGATAGGATTTCTCTGAATAGCTCAGGCTGGTGTGGAACTCATGAACCCGCTTCCTCACAGGCCTAAAATTCCAAGTAACATGTCACCTGGTCCTAAACACATTTGTTAAAGATGTGGTATTTTTCTTTTCATCTTTGGAGTGACTTTAGAGCATGTGTGTGTGTGTGTACATGTATGTTTGTGTGTGCATGTGTGTAAAGAAGATTATTATTTAGTTCATTCAATTTTATTTATTTATTTATTTATTTTTATTTATTCAATTTTATTAAAAGTAACCAACAAGAAGTCAAATTATTTAAACAGTGAGAAGAACTCATGGAGTAGGTTGATTGGTCATTCTTCTTCTCTTTTTTTACACTTGCTTGCTAGTATTATTTGACATTACCAAATGATTTCCAGAGATTTCAGAATTTCTGTTATACTTCCATGACTGAATAGCTCAAGGCTAGTCCTTTCAAAATATTTTAGGAAATTATTCAATAATTCTACCATAATTAATAGTACATTTAATGTTTCTGACTTTGTTAAAGATTGTTTTCCTTATCAAGTTATGCCCCTTCACAGATAGATAGCATACCTAAGCTATGCATGTGTTTGGAAGGTACTAGCATGCTCATTTATGGCAGGACTCACAGTTCTCTCTGTAAAGTGAACTGGTGCCTAAGTGGCAGTCATGTATACTCTGAAACATATATGAATGAATTAGTGAGAGGCTTATAACTTCCTTATTTTACAGCAGAAAAAGGAGACGCCAAAAAGAAAAGCGAAAAGGAAACTGCCATTGATGTGAAAAGCAAAGGTATTATTCTTCCTCTGCTTCCTTCCATTGTCTTTAGAGATTCCGTCTATGAACGATCTTGGTGCATCCATATGCGACTCAGATCTAAATACTCACATCTATCCATGTGTAGCCTGCCAATTTAAAATGTGGTAGAAAGTTAAATACACATAAAGAACATTATTCCAGGCTACTGCCTTGTGTGGAAGTGGTCAAAACTCCATTTGAAATTTAACTCTGATGAAAGGGAAAGCAGGGGAGTGAGTAAGAACGGAAAGGAAGATTGGCTTCCATGTATGTATACTAGTCTCACTCAAAGAAAAATAAACGTTCTTACATGTTTATGGGAAGACACAATTAACTTGTTGAGACAAGGTGCTACTAAAGAAGGTGAATCTACTCTCCGCCAGAAAGTGGGAGATGTGAGTGCTGTCTTTCTTTCTGTTTATATTTCAAAAGGATCACTCTAAAGTCTTGAGAAGAGTATAGTCCTGGGTGAGTAACCATGAAGTGGGCTTTCCAAAGGTTCGTTCTCAACAGGGACAAATAAATAATATGTAATACCTGACTGTGTGAAGTAAGTGTCCAAAGTAAATGAGAATAAGCACCTAAGGTCATCAGGATCTACCTAAAGCCAGTCAAGTTGCTCACAGTCTTGTTGAAGAGGGGGGAAAGGCATAGGATCTACTTGAGGATAACAGTATCAGTGTGCAAAACCATGAAGCTGAGAGAGTAAAGGTATTCATTAAGAGATTGATGACAACTGTTTCACAGCTTAGATTTCTACTTTAGTTTTGATTTTATGATTGTACAAACTTAAGCACTGGCTTCCATTCATGTAGGGCATACATATAATGGAATGTTGTCATCTTAAGTATTATAGTTTAGTGATAATTACTTTCATTCCTAATATTCCCTCTACCTGTGTCAGTGATGGTTGAAATTCTGCTGAGAACTACTCCATTCTGTTGAATTATGTAGGAATCACAACTCATCGAAATGCAAACATCCCATGGCCTTTGCGATGGGCTAAAAACCATTATTTTCTCAGTTATTCATGACATAAACTAATTAAGATTTCTGGATCTTCCTGGGAAAACAGTAAACTGAAATCAATTCTCTCAAAATTTAGGTAGTAATTATCATTAACTGAGGAGGTAGACAAAGAGAGGTTCAAGGTCATAGTCACGGGAGGCCACACTGGACAGGATACCAGTAGTAAAACCCTTCCAGTCTCAGGGAGGAATGGGAATAATGGCTTATGTGGGAGGGAAAGGTGGTAGGGAAAGACCTAATAAGGAGACTACAGTATGACAAAATAAATAATGACAACTCTGAGTGAAAATAGGAATAGCAGGGCATTCTTCTACCATAGTATAAACAGAGCGAAATATATAACATCATGAGATACATACGGTTTACACAACAGGCAGGGAGGGAAAGCAGGTCTTCAGTGAGTCTGAGTTGAGTGCCAATGACTGTAAACTGAACACCTTTACCAAAGGAGGATTTGTTACAGAGTTTATAACATTGTTTAAATTCACCTTAATTTTGTTTAAACTTAATTTTCTGGTGACAAGTATATTTTAGCATAAAAAAGGAGTTGAATTTTTTTATTATATGGTAATACCAAGAAACTGACTTATGAGGTCAATGGATAGTTGTAGTAGGACTGGATGTATGGTACAGATTGATGAGGTACTGCTCCCTGGTCATCAGTTTGGTAGGAGCTCCTGGGCTATAATCCTGAAAGAATTTGTCAAGGAAAACCAGATAAAAACTAAGAGTTCAGGGTAATCTGAGTGAGTGAGTGAGTGAGTGAGTGAGTGAGTGAGTGAGTGAGTTTGTGTGTGTGTGCACGTGTGTGTGTTTGTATGTGTCGTGAGTTATACCTTCTCTTTGTATGTGTCTTGTTTCAATTTAGTTATACTTTGAGACTGGAAGCCAAAATATGTGTGCGTACAAGGAGTCATGGAAAAATCTGAAAGTCCATGATGCGAAGATCTATGACTTTACTGTCACAGTCATATCAAGGTGACATTGTTTATTACTGGACACAACTCTCTGTGGCAATTTCTCTTTACTCAAGGCCAGGACCAATGATACAGAAGCAAAACTGGGTCACTGCTTAGCACATGTAGGAAGGGCTGTTGACATATTCAGATGGTATTGTGAAACATATTCATCTTTCTGAAACCATTTTTCTGTTTAAGACTTTCAGTTTTATTTTGATCATACAAAATATCATTGGTCTTATAAATTAATCAAACTTTGATGGAAATGTATATTCCCTGATACTGTGTTTAAAAATCTTTGACACTCAAATACTAATTTTTATGGGGTGTTTAGGAGGTTGTATTTGTGTAGGGAGGGGGAACCCAAAAAACAATATACTGTATTTTAAAAAATCTATTTTTCAATTAAAAAAATGGCTTTCAGAAAGTGAAGCCATGGTGAGTGTTCACTGTCCCTCCTGATTAGACATTTCTCTGAGTATAATTGGAGCATACCACATTGATGTCTGAATAAACCAAAAGCATGACGACATGACATGTTGTGTGCTTTTGACTAATTGTTCTCGGAGTGAAGAATTATCTTGACACATCTCAACTTAACTTGACTTGACACATCTTAACTTGACTGTTAAGTTAACATTGAGGAAGGTTTAGTAATTATTTATGAAACAAAGACAATGAAAAAAACTACAGACAACAAAATGTTTTTAGGTGGAAAATAAAGAATTGTAATTGTTTTCTAAGTTTGAAGTTTTTAATTATTTGAGGATAATTTTAAGGAATGTGTATGTTTCTGTTATTAAGGACAGTCTTTCCTTTTCTTCAAAATAATCATGTAAAAAGGTATCTGTTATGCTAGACATGGCTTGGCATTAGTTTTAATATAAATCTTTTTTTAATGTTATATATTCTTTTTTATTTCTTTTTTTCCGTTTATTTATTTATTAAAGATTTCTGTCTCTTCCCCGCCACCAACCGCACACTCACACTGGGGACATCTGGCTGATGAAATTCTATTTTCATGTATCTGATATAATGATTTTAAAAATAATCTGTATTAAATGAAAAAATACTAAATGCTGTTAAGTGGATTTTTTTTCTGTATAAAGGATGAGCCTCATGCCTAGTAAAGATGCATTCAGATGCAAAAAAAAAAGGTATCTGTTATATTGGTCACTGCTCATACTCTCTTAGTGGTATGATATGAAATCAAAGCTATGAACATGAGAAAAAGTTTGTCATAAAATCCATTCAAAAAAAAGCACATAACAGTAACTATCCTCAAAGACTATTCTGACACTGAAGTATTACATATTCAAGTTCCATGATTCAGAGAACAGAGACAAATGCATGACAATAGAGACCACGGTAAGCAAGGCTATCCATAGATCATGGTGAAACACTTGATCCTTTTCTTTCTTTTTCTTTAAAGATGTATTTATTTTTTCTTTATGCATGAGAGCTTTGCCTACCTGTATATATGTATATGTGCACAGCTGGTGTCCATGGTGGTCAGAAAAAGGCCTCAGAACCCCTTGAAGCTGAAGTTTTAGATGTTTGTGTATTTACTTTTTCTTTATGCATGAGTGTTTTGCCCACCTGTATATATGTATATGTGCATACCTAGTGCTCAGGGGATCAGAGAAATGCCTCAGAACCCCTCGAATCTGGAGTTTCAGTACTAAGTACTGAGAAGCATATCTAGGCCCTCTGGAAAAGCAACAAGTGTTAACTGAGAGCCATCTTTCCAGACCTAGGAACCTTCTGTTTCTCAAAGTATGCATTTACACCCAAGTTTTATAGAATGGAAACTACTAGGTAGTTACTCTGCTGTGCACTGAACACAGGTGTATAGCATGAATAATCAAAACCAAGGGACAAAAGTTATGGTTCAACCTGAAAACCAGAAAAGCAAAGCAGCGAAGCCACTAGAGAAGTTTTATCTCAATCAAGGCTGGGCAACCCCAAAACTAAGCCAACTAAGTCTCCCTCTTCTCTCATTTTATATTCCCTCTGGTGCTGAGATTAAGGACTTCTGACTCCCTAGGATTGGGATTAAAAGTGGATTTGTTTCTGCATTGATCTTGTGCAGCCCAGGGTGGCCTTGAACTCACAGAGACCCTTCTGCCTCTGTCTCCTAAATCCTGGGATTAAAGATGTGTGCCACCAAAGCCAGATCTCTAGTGGTTTTAGCTTTGCCTCTGGCCTTCAGTCAAGATTTATTTATCAAAATACCAATAATCTATCACTACACAGGTGACATCTATACAGTAGATGCTGAGGGCATCTGTGAGATGCTGCTGCCTGGCGACACACTTCTCCTCACCAGTTAAATAATGAAATACTAATACCTTACTGTCCCTTTCCTGACACCACCATTCAAACTGCTCTTTTGTTTTCTAAATTCCATTGCCTTTAAAAATGTCCACCTTCATTTAAAAATTAAAATTTTCTTCCGTAGGTTCTGTCCCTCAAATCCACTAACATCTTGATCCATGTCCTTGTGTGCATCCTCTCATGCTTCCTCCCTCGCACCCATTTATTTCCCAGAATCACATAATATGCTATATATTTCTGTGATCTTGTCAGCATATACCATGGTTCTACTGTGGCTTTTCTTTCTCTAGAACCTCTTCCTTGGTGGCCTTACATGATCCATGCTTTCATGCCATCGTTGTGATAATAACTCACAAATATCTGTCACTACCTTTGAACTTCAACCTTATATATTCAAGTGACTGGTCACCATCTTCATTTAAATCCTTGACATATCTAAAGTTCACAGGATTTTAAAAGCCTTACACACAAATACACACACGAATGTGTCAACTGTATTCCTCTCTTGTCCTTTTATCTCTATTGCTTTCTATTTACCTACAGGGCCCATATTTTCACTTCATCAATATTCTTTTAAACACTCATATTTGAAAATGCAGTGTAGCAGGCTTCTTCCCACAGTTGTTAAGAATCACCTCAGCTGGGCACTGTCATAATTAGACTCCATAG